TGCATACAAGTCCTTCGGTTGATCTCCTACCCCCCCCCTTACCCTCCCCAGGCTTCCCACAGTAGTTTGACAGTCTGCTCAATGCTGCTCTGCCTCTGTATCCATTTTCGTTCATCAGTCTATAATGGTCCTTATTAACCATAAATGAGTGAGTTCATGTGGTATTTTTCTCAGCTTCCCAGGGGGCGTCAGTCTCACAGGGGCCATCTCAGCCTCACAGGGGCCATCCCAGCCTCACAGGGGCCGTCCCAGCCTCACAGGGGCCGTCGCAACCTCACAAGGGCCGTCGCAACCTCACAAGGGCACATACCTCGATTGCAGGCTCGATCCCTGGCCCAGCTCTGTGTATCTCCCCCTTCCTTCCACTCTCTCTAAAAATGAACTGAAAAATATCCTCAGGTGAGGATTAACAACAAAAAATTGCTATGTCCCAATGCTGGAATATAGGCTACTAGCAATGTTTGGGTTTCAGCCATGAAGGACCTTCAAGGAAGGAACAAAGTTGATTTAAAAGTAATCTCTATCCCTGCACTCATATTCTTTTTCCCTCAGCCCCATGACTAAGATATTATTGATAAAAAGCAAACAAAAACCATGACTTTCTCATTCCACTGGCACTATTCTGCCCCATGTATATGCCATTGGAAGTCACTCTTTAATTAGCACTTCCTTCTTCCAATATCTTAAGACCCAGAGAGGCATGAATGCTAAGGTTGAGGTCGAATTTGTCATAGTTACCTGCATAATCAACCTGAGATACTACCATCTGAACTCATGGCAGCCACTGAAACTGTAGCGAAGGCCAACAACTCTATGGATTCCAGTCCCAATATTTACTCCTAATGACTCAACTGATTATGAAATACCAGTAGGAGGGCTTGCCCAAACCCAGTGCTCCCTTCTGAATTGGTTATGAAGATTAAGACTTGTCTTAGGACATCTGATATACAAGTATAGAAATCATATAGGTTAATAGAAATCCCATATTAGGAGTCCTGGTGACATTTTCCATTTTTATTATTTTATTTTTAAAAAACTTTATTTTCACAGAATACATTTCACATTAAAGATTCTCACAGTGGGAAAAATAACAATTTGTTATTTAAAGTTTTATATTTGTGGATATTATTTTGGGACAAGTAAAATGAACATATTTGAGGAGTTAAGTCTTAGTTTAGAACATGTAATATTTTGATACTTCTACAAGGGTACCTCTTCCCTGCATGGAACTTCTCTATATTCAGAAGTTCTCCAGGCTCTTTTACCCAGGCTTTAGAAATTAGTAATGTGAAATATGAGCATTTCCTAACTTTAAAGTTTCCCAAAGACATATAACCATCAGTGACTGGTATCAACTAAACAAAGGGGGAAAGTTTTCAAACATTAAGTGCTGCATAAGCTGCTGCAGTCTTTACTTATGAATTAATAGTTTTTCCTTTCTCCTTAACTCCTAGGACAAATATAGCAGTTTGATTAGGTATTGATAGTAATAAAGCATAATTCCCTTTAAGAGTTCGGTAAATTATAATGCGAAAGCTTATATGTAATGTTCAGTTATATTGTGAGTCTTGAGAAGCTGGAGGACAACCTCATTCACTCGCCGGAATGTAGGACTCTGTCTCACAATTTCTTGGATACAATTCCTCTCAAACCTTTTCTTTACAGATTAAATTCTAAAACTAGCCAGGTGATTAGAAGAGATTTATCCTTATTTCCTCCTTATTGTGAGATGAATGGCATGACAAAGCAGAGGCAAAGAGGTGTACAATCAATTTTCAAGGTAGTAAGTCAAGAAGGTCAGAGCTTCCATAGCATGGCAACAGCTTTGCAGATGTCCACATTGTGATGGTTGAAATAACAAAGCCCAGCAAAGGTGAAAGCCGAGAGTGCCAAGAGGCCTGCCTTGGCAGATTTCTGTAATGCATCCTTTTGAACATAGTAACAACTTGTCCAAGGCCCCAGTGACTATATAGAGAGAGGACCGCAGCCAGGGAGTAGTCCATCGCAGAAGGATTCAAACACGCAGCTGGAAGTAGGCCCAGGAGCAAAACACTGACAACCCTCTCATCAGTACAGTGGAGAGATGAAGCCTTGGAACCAGGATGGCGGCTGGGTGACAGATGAATGTGCTGTATTCCACACCATCCTGGGGTAGGTTAGTCTCACTCATATGTGGAATCTAATGAACAAACTAAACTGATGAACAAAACAGATCCAGAGACATGGAAGCATGGAACAGACTGTGGAATCTCAGAGGGAAGGCGGGGGTGGGTGGGAAGAGATCAACCAAGGAACTTGTATGCATATATGCATAACCATGGACACAGATAATAGGGTGGTGGAGGCCTATGGTAGGCAGGTTAGAAGGGGTCAATGTGGAAAAATAAGGGGACATATTGAAAGGAGTTAAAGCAGAATTAGGTAGACAGGGTAAGGGACGAAAGAAGGAGGAATCATGGAGCTAGGTGAAACCACAAAAAGTTTTGCAGAAAAACAAGATGGATAGCAGGAAAAAAAGGGTGTTTTGAAACAAGGATGTTTTTCTTGCAAGTGCAAAATAAAATGTTGCAAAAAGGCCAGGAACCAATCAGAGAGTGGCACAGATAGACAAAGAGCGGGCCTTTAGCAGATATAAGGGGAAGAGCAGAATACTTCGGGGGCAACCATTTGAATCCCCTACCTGAGCAGGGAGCCTGTGTTTGTTTGCAATAAACTCCTGCCTTGTTGAACTCCTCTGGCTGGTCCAACGGCTTCATTCTTTAATTCTGTGAGACACAACCCTGGAAAGAATTCCTGCTCACTGGTTCCAGTATCAATATGTAATACTTTCAGCAATAAAGATTTAATTTTAAAAATGTAATGAAGACCATAGTACATTAATCTTTACATGCATCTCTATTTTGAATAAATTAGAATTGGAATTACTGAGTTTGAATGATGAGAGGCAATTGAAAGGTATTGATGAATTGTTCTCAATATTGTTGTACAAATTATTTCCCATCAATGATATATAAATGTGCATAGTTCTCTACACATTAAAGCAAAGCTTTTTATAAATCTCTGTTCACTTGATAGGCGGTTTTAGAGGTTTTTATTTTTATTTTTTCTTCTTAATCCTCCCCCGAGGATATTTTTCCCCATTGATTTTCAGTGTGGAAGGGGGCAGGAGAGAAACATTGATGTGACCGAGAAAAATCAATTGGTTGCCTTCCGAACGTGCACCGACTGGGCTGAGGATTCAACCTGCAACCGAAGTACGTGCCCTTGACCGGAATCAAACCCAAGACCCTTTGGTCTGCGGGCTGACACTCTAACCACTGAGAAAACTGGCCAGGGCAGAGAGACTTTTATTTCTAAGTTGCATACAGAAAATTGACTTTATGGTATATAGGTCATGGGTTTTGACAAGTATAAAGTCATGTATTCTTCCACTCTAAAACCATACAGAACAGTTTTATCACTGATTTCTCTGAATTGCTCTTTTTATTGTAAATCCGATTTCCAAGCCATGGAAACCACTTATTTGTTCTCCATTCATATGGTTTTGCCATTTCCAGCGGTCATATGAATGGAATCATGCAATATGTAGACTTTTTGGTCTGGCTTCCTTCACTTAGCAAAACACATTTAGACTTCTCTATGTGGTTATGTGAGTCAACAGTTCATCCATATTTATCAATGTACTTCATTGTATGGATGTACCACTGGTTTTTATCCATTCACTAATTGATGGACATGTAAAAACTTCCCACTTTTGGTGATTCTGAATAAAATTCGTTCTATAAACTTTCAGGTACTGGTTTTGTGTGAACATAAATGTTCATTTCTATAGGGCAAATGCTTTGGAGAAGAAACAAGTATCATACTTTTCCAAAGCTTCTGTATCATTTTGCATTCCCACCACACATATGAGTTCCAGTTGCTCCACATTTTCACCAGTATTTGATATTCATATCGGTATTTTAGACTTTTACTAGCCATTCTACTAGATGTGTAGTAATATCTCATAGTGGTCCTAATTTGCAATTCCCTAATGGCATATAAGTTTAAGCACCTTTTCACATTCTTCTGTGCCATGTGAACATCTTCTTTAGTGAATTATCTATTAAAATCTCTTTTTTATTGGGTTGCTGGCTTTTCTTACTGTTGAGTGTTTAGAAATATTCTTTAAAAAAATTTTTTTGATTGATTTCAGAAAAGAGAGATTTGTTGTTAGACACATTTATGCATTCATTGGTGGATTCTTCTATGTGCTCTGGCTAGGAATCAAACCCGCAATCTTGGCATAGCAGGATAATGCTCTAACCAACTGAACTACCCGGTCAGGGTCTAGAGGAAGGGAAAGGGAGAGAGAGATAGAAACATCAGTGATGAGAGAGAATCACTGATCGGCTGCTTCCTGCATGCCCCACACTGGGGATCAAGCCTGCAACCTGGGCATTTGCCCTGACCGGAAATCGAACCATGACCTCCTGGTTCATAGGTCGACGCTGAACCACTGAGCCATGATGGCCAGGCTAGAAATATTCTTGATGTTATCAGATATATTATTTGGAAATGATTCTACCAACTGGTGGCTTTTTTTTGGTATCAACAGTGCCTTTTTCAGACCAGAAGTTTTAAATTTGATGAAGTCTACTTGGTCAAATACATGACAATATAAGTTGGGATGAGTATATAGGCAGTTAAAGTGATCTAAGCCACTTATATTATCTAGGAGGTGTTTAATAATAACTAGTGTTTATTGTGGAAATAAGACTCTAAGGGTAGATCTGAAAGAAAGATCGTTCATGGTCCACACACTGTGTAATTTCCCCTTAAATGTGGGTAGAATCTATATCTTGCTTCTAATCAATAAGGTACGGCAAACATGATGGGATGTCACCTCCATGAAAATGTTATAAAATATTACATATACACTTAAAAATAGTCTCAAAATATACAAAAGCATCAATTGCTATTATGTCCACAGAGAAACTAAAAAAAACACCACCAAGGGAGTGAAAGAATTCAACAGGTCTTTTCAATTATTGAGAAGTAATATACAAATCAATAGCATACAGAAGTTTTAAACAACACAACTTACAAGCTTTGCCAAATGTACATGGAGACATACACACTTCTGCATTGAAGAAATACAGAAAACATAACTCATTTGAAGTTCATTTGGAACAGTTACAAAATTAATTCTGCTTTAGACCATATAAAATTATTTACAAATTTAAAGAATTGGTATCAGAGAATTCATGCTGTCTTACCTCACTGAAATTAAGTTACATATTAATAAAGAAGGTATATAAAACATCTACCTATACTTCATAATTTAAAGTTTTTTTCCTTTGAAAACACATTTCTAAAAAAAAACCAAAAAACAAGTACATTTCCAAATATGAATCAAAGAAGAAATCATGAGGTATATCTTAAAATACTTAAAATTTAATAATAAAGAAAATATTACATATAAAAACCTGTGAGACATGGAAAAGCATGCTTTGAGAAAACTTTACAGCTATAATAAGCTAAGTATCCAAGCTAAGGATAAATAGGGGCAGTAGGGGGGAAAACAAAAGTAGAAGGAAGGAGGTATTAGAGGTAAAGGTATCAATTCATGAAATAGAAAACAAAGATACAATAAAAATCAACAAAACCCCACATTTATTCCTCTTACAAAACTACCAAAATGGACAAACATTTGGCAGATGCATCAAGATAAAAAGAAAGATACATAGAAATAATATTAAAGAAAAGGGGAACAAAAAGAGAATATAAAGATTAAAAAGATTAGGGAACCGGTATGAAGAATTCATGCCTATAAGATTGAAAATTTAGAGGAAAGAGACAAATTCTAAGAAAAAATATAACTTAACATAGCTGACTCAAGAAAAAAAAAATAGAAAGCTTGTATAATCGTGTAAAATATAAAATTAAATGGTATACAAATCTTCCTTGAGATCCAACTATATTCTTTATACCAGAAAATAACTATAAATAAAAAGACAAAGTATATAATACAAACACTAATCAAAAGAAAGTTGGGATGGCTATATTAATATAAAAAAGTAGACTTCAGAAGAAGGATAAAGAAGAACATTACATAATAAGAAAGAGGGCAATTTGCCTACAAGACCTAACAATTCCTACAATACCTGAAGCAAAAACTGACAGAAATGTAAGACACAGACAATTCCATGGTTATATTTGGAAATTTCAATACCTTACTCTTACGATTTAATGGAACAATCAGGTAGAAAGTTAATAGATCTAAACAACATTAGAATCAACTTGTCATAACTGACGTTTGCAAAACACTATACCCAACAGCAAAATTTGTATTGCTTGCAATTGTACATGAAATATTCTAGATAACCTTGATATCTTGATATACTCAAGATAAACTATATTCTAATTCATAAAATAAATGAACAGACTGGCTTCTTTCACTTATCAATATTAGTTTAAATTAACTCCTTGTTTCTTCATGGCTTTATAGCACATTTCTTTTTATCCCTGAATGTTTTTATGAGACATGGCTGAGATTTTGCCTCCAATGGTTTCTTTAAGAATTTTAATGGTTTCACGACTTACATTTAAGTATTTTATGCATTTTCAGTTTATTCTTATGTATGGTGTAAGTTGGTGGTCTAGTTTCATTTTTTTGCATGTATCTGTCCAATTTTCCCAACACATTTATTGAAGAGACTGTCTTGATGCCATTGTATGCTCTTGCCTCCTTTGTCAAATATTACTTGAACGTAATGGCTTGTGTTGATTTCTGGGTTCTCTGTTCTGTTCCACTGATCTATATACCTGTTCTTGTGCCAGGATGAGGCTGTTTTGATTACCATGGTTAGTAGTATAATTAGTGCCCTTTTATTTCATCTTGGGGAACTCCTTTAAGCATAAGAAATAAGGCAGGTCTAGTGGTGATGAACTCACTGAGCTTTCGTTTATCAGGAAATGTCTTTATTACTCCTTGATTTCTAAAGGACATCTTTGGCCAGGTAAAGTATTCTTGGTTGAAAGATTTTCCTTTCAGCGATTTGTGTATATCATTCTACTGTCTCCTGGGCTGCAAGATTTTTGCTAAGAAATTGAATGATAGCCTTATGGGCATTCTCCAGTATGTAAGTTTATTTTTCTCTTCTTGCTTCATTTAAAATTCTCTCTTTGTCTTTTATTTTAGACAAATTTTAAAAGATGTATCTTAGGAAAGATTGATTTGTGATGAAATTGTAGGGGAAGTAACTATGTAGGCTTTTGTTACCTCTTTGCATTCTTTTACTTTGTTCTCCCATCTGACTGGATAATTTCAAATGATCTGTCTTCTATTTCACAGATTCTTTCTTCTGCTTGAACCAGTCTTCTGTTGATGGTCTCTACTGATTTTTATTTTCATTTTATTAATTGTATTCTGCAGCTCCAGAATTTGTTTTGTTTTTCTTAATGATTTCTATTAAAGTTACTGTGTTATTGTATTGTTTGCCTGATTTCATCAACTTAACTTTGTATGTTTTCTTGTACTTTAATGACCTCCCTTAAAACAACTATTCTGAATTCTGTATCAAGCAAATCACAGATCTCCATTTATTTGGAGCTGGTTTCTGGACAATTGTTTTCCTTTGTTGGAGTCATGTTTCTTTGATTTTTCTTGTTTTTTGAATCCTTGCATTACCGTCTTCACATCTAAAGAAGCATCACCTACTTCAGTTTTTACTGACTGGCTTTGGGAGACAAATGCCTTCCATCTGCCCTGTTAGGGATTTTGAGGCTTTCTCTGACCTTTTCTATGGGTACACCTGTCCCACAATTCCTGTTTCCTGTTGGCGGTAGGGGGGACTCGAGATTTTAATACTTCTCTAAATTCTGCAAAGCCAGGCTGGGTACTGACAACCTCCCATTTGCCTTCTGTAGGTCAATGTAGAAAACTCAAAGTTTGTGTGCTTTTTCCTAATCCCACTGTCAGGCCTTCTTACTGTGTATGCCCACTAACCTTCTACAAAGGCTCACAGATACCACCTGCAAAGGTGTGCACAGGAAAATGTCTCTGGGTTTGAGGTATGTGTTGGGGAGATGTGTGTTGGGGTACCTGTGGACCAATGTGGGGGTGTCCATTGATGAGTCATCCCCAGCAGTTTGTGGGCAGACTTACTGATGAGTTCATGAAGCAGTTAGTAGGATCTACATCTCTTTGATACTGTTCCATGCTTTTCCAGCCCTAGCTGCTATTGCAGTTATTTGCTGGCCAATGAGTCATATCCTTTACTCAGTATTCTGCATGGGGTAAGAAGGAAATGCTCCTCTTTGGCAGCATACGGCACATCTGGGAAGCCAGGCACCCACTCATGCTCTTTCATTTTCTCCTGTGGAAGAAATCACAGGTTAAGAAGGTCTCTCTTAACTCACCTGTGCCACCTTGGGGAAAGAGTGATATGAGTAGAGTTAAACTGTTTCTCTTACCTTCTTTAGTGAGTTCAATCTCAAGAGTTTTTGCTCTAGCAGTGTGCTGGAATTTCTCTGCTAGACTCCTAGACTTCCACACTGGCCCTCTTATCCATGCGTAATTATCAAAATTGGTGTTCTTTTGGAGGGGTGGGAGTAGAAAGATGGTAGAAAACTCCTATACAAACATTTTGATGACATCACTCTCTAGAGAGAAACTGTTCCTGAGCCTTGATAGAAGAGATCTTTTCACATACTGTTAACAACAAACACAAAAGTGAAACTTCAGGGAGTCAATCCTTATATTCATTTCTCACAACTAAAGAATAAAATCAGAATTCCTAATGGAAAGCTCCTCTAATACATAATGTCAAACCTAGGATTCTCAGAAATCTACCAGAAGCAGCAAATGCTCAGAAATAGACAACATGGACAATGAACAGCTTGCCTCCCAGGTGTCAGAACAAGATCCCTTTCTAATTCCTGTTTTATTTTTCATCTACTTGCTTGTAATCATTCTTCTAATTTTCTATAGACCCATGGTAGTCATTCACTCATAATTGTGACTTTTCTTCTTTCTTCGTCTTTATAACTGCCATTAAATTGTACCAAATAGGAGCCACTACCCTCAGTTTTACCTATCACTGGACATGATACCCATGATTTAAAAAAACAAAAACAAAAAGCAAATAATCAAACAAAAAAACCTATGGGCAATTTCATTGTCATCAAATGAGACCATAGGTAATTACAACCAATAGTATTTACACTTGCTATATGGCAAATGTCCTTAAACAAATAACCTGTGACTTTGCATGTGTCCCACAGAAAAACAACAACACAATTATTAGTACTAGTGATCACCTCCTGGAAACTCTGAGTTTGAATCCAACAATCTTTGTAGGACAATGTTCCAAATACTTGCCACCTGGAATCATTAATGGAATTCATTGTTTTATTTTGTTGTTGTTGTTTAAATAATAAAATAGATAGATATAGATATAGACATAGATATAGATAACCCAGCTAATATAGGGCCTTCTTTCAGACCTCATGTCATGAATAATTTCTTTTTCCTGGATCTTCATGTGCTTCTAACAGACATTACGATTTCTTTGCAGCTAGGTCATGTGGTCCTCTTTGTTCCAGATTAACACTTTATCCACCTTACAAACAGTATTCTGAGACTTCTCTGTACACAGAGACCGTAATTCTATAAATGGGCAAGGCTGAAATTCTGACTCAGATGTGAGCTCCAAAATGAGGCCACCTGTGATTATTCAGGCACAACACCTGGAGAAATTACTCATTGTTTATGTGAATAATCAGAGTAGTTTTCCCACTGATGGGAATCAAATAGAACAAACTGTTTGAAACTTATTACTAATTTTGGTAGAAATTATTAACATCACCTCTGCCCTATATAGAGATTAGTCTCACCTTGACATGAGTAGTGAGTTTCATTACTCCAGATTTCTTGGTTAGTCATGCGTCATTGCTAATACTTCATGCTGTATTTGGATCAATGAGAAAAAGTACTACAACCTACACAATGCTTGAAGAAAAACAATCTACCTGGATCTCTAAGTCTTTGATCGTCACAGCTGATGGGAATTGTTCTCTTGACCTGAGTCAGGCAATTGGGGTTCTGGGTTCCAAATCACAAGAGGGATTTAGGGTGAGTAAGCAATTGGAAAGGTAGTTTGAGCAGGGGCAGGGGATTCAGAGCAGGTAGAGGGTGAGTAGAGAAAAGTAGTGTGACCTGAATCTGAGCAAAGCTCTCGACAGGCTGAAGAGAGGTCTGAACAAAGACCTAAGAGAAAACATGAGCAAGAACTAGAGGGAGGGCTAGAGCAGAGAAATATTACAAGTGGAGTTTCAAGTGGGTGCAAATCAGGATGAGGCTAATGGTGGTTGAGAGCATAAATGGGGATAGGGAATCAGAGCCAAGAAGTAGTGCCAGCCAGTGCTGGAGAGAGAGTGCAACCTGGGATCTCAGCAGGAACTTGGCGAAGATACAGCCTGAGGAATAGCAATGGAATGGTGGATGGATGGGGTTACAGCATCGAGAGAGATCCAGTTAGAGAGGCAGTGAGAAGCGGGTTCCTGGTGGGCAAGGGGCCGCAGAGGGAAGTTGACCTGAGGAGAGGAAAACTGGATTCTAGAACCATTTAGGAGAAAGAACAGAGTGAGGAGCAGAGAAGTAGCCTGAGGAGGGGTTGGGGCAGTGCTTGGGTCTGAGAGGGAGAATGATGGGGCATGAAGGGAGATGAGCAGAAAGGTAAAATGATTGGGATCCAGGTAAGATGGAGGCTGGGGGGAGGGGAAATAATAGGAGGAGAAGGCCAAAGAAATAGTGAGAGCTGGCAAGTGGGGGTGGGAGAAGATGGTGAAAGAGGAAATGGGGGGTAGTTAGGAAAGGTATTGCAAGTGGGAGCAGCAAACTGTGATGCTCTCAGCTTTACTGTCAAAATTCCTTAGAAACCCTACATAGGGGCTTTTGCTGCAATCGTGGCATCAGTTTTTCTAATGTTTCATCAAGGGCAAGACATAAAACAAAATACTGTCAAAAGCTGGCACTCCTTGTTGCACCCAAGAGTGTGCAGAGATAGCTGTACCCTAAGATACATACATAAATATATATATTTGGGACTAGGGAACAGAAAGCCCTGTTTTTGAAAGGCCTGACACAAATGGAGATAGCAGAGACTGAAAACCAGAGAGGCACAACAAGAGAGTGATAACTCAGCCATCCTGCTCTGAGCACCTCTAGTATAGCCAGGTCATGCTCTATAATGACTTGTATCTTTCCATCCCCTTCTCTCTTGATCCCACCTCCTGTCTTTTATCCACTTTTCCTCACCCCAATCCCACCCAATGTGGAAAGGCCATCACCTTTCCCCTTCACTGTTATTAAGCAACTTGCAGCAGTAATACAACAATACTAAGATAGTCTCCTAATTCCTTTCCTACACTGCAGTGCTCTGGAGCTCAGAGCCAGGATAGTTTGTAAAAATTATCAGGTGACATGTACAAGGTTGAAAATGCCCTGGTACTGACTGCATTGTGCTTTTTTCCTGCTCTGTACTCTCCCACTTTTCCCCTTATTAAAAATCTTGATACTGATGACTTCCTGGAAGGAATTGTGCTGATGACCATTAAGTTCTCAAGAGACTACATCCACATCCAGAGTCAGCTGTCAATGCTGGCTATGGTGAATATGATTCTTCTTTTTTCCCATTTATTTACTGTCTAAAGTTTTACGTATCTCCTTTTTTCCCGACTGATCCACCTCCCCCCATCCCCACAGCCATTCCCACCCCGGGCAAGCCCCAACTGCCCCAATGTCTGTGTCCATTGGTTATGGTATATGCATGCATACAAGTCCTTTAGTTGCTCTCTAACCACCCCCCCCCGCCCCGCACACACACACACACCTCCCTTGCCAGTTGTCTCTGGATCTATTTTTATTCATCAAATTATGTTGATCATTATATCCCACATATGAGTGAGATTGTGTGACATTTATCTTTCTCCGACTGGCTTATTTCGCTTAGCATAATGCTCTCCAGTTCCATCCATGCTGTTGCAAATGGGAAAAGTTCCCTCTTTTTTATAGCTGCACAGTATTCCATTGTGTAGATGTACCACAGTTTTCTAATCCACTCATCTGATGATGGGCACTTAGGCTGTTTCCAAATCTTAGCTATGGTGAATTGTGCTGCTATGAACATAGGGGTGCATATATCCTATCTGATTGGTGTTTCTGGTTTCTTGGGATATATTCCTAGAAGTGGGATCACTGGGTCAAATTGGAGTTCCATTTTTAACTTTTTGAGGAAACTCCATACTGTCTTCCACAGTGGCTGCAGAGTATGCTTCTAACAGATAATTTTCTCCTCATCTTCTGGGATCCTGGCCATCACTGTTGACCTCTACGTATTTCTGCAAAATGCCTTTACCTACCAACTGACTCACACCATGCCTCACAACTTAGGCATACACACACACACACACACACACACACACTCTCTGAGTGGCCAGATTATTATGACCACCTGACGTTTGTAGGCAAAGTAGCTATAATTTTGCACTGAAGTTGCTAGAGGGCCAGACCATTATAAATAGGGAAGTAGGTTGTTTACCACGACAGAAGTGATTTTTTTTTTCTGAAGATCTGGGTAAACAACGCTATTTAACAGCCTTTGAACGTGGGATACACACACACACACACACACACACACACACAGTGGCCAGATTATTATGTTTGCAGGCAAATTAACCGTACACTGCATCGTATGGGATACGGAAGCCGAAGGCCTGTTCGAACCCCTTTGCTGTCTGCAGTTACCAAGATAAAACGTCTCCAATTCGCACAGGAACACAAGGATTGGAGAGTAGAGCATTGGAAAAAAGTCATGTAGTCCGATGAATCACATTTCCAGTTGCATCATGCAGATGGCAGAGTGAGAATTTGGCGGAAATAGCATGAAAGCATGCACCCCACATGCATGAGTACAACCCTTCAAGCTGGTGGGGGCAGTGTAATGGTTTGTGGCATGTTTTTCTGGCATGATTTGGGCCCTTTAATTTGTGTGGAACAACATCTGAATAGCACAACATACCTAAGTATCGTTGCTGATCAAGTTCATCCTATCATGTTGATGGCGTATCCCAATGGAGATGGCTTTTCCAACAAGACAATGCGCCATGCCACAGTGCTCATATTGTGCAGCAGTGGTTTCAAGAACATGAGGGAGACTTTAACTTGCTTAGGTGGCCCCCATAATCACCAGATCTCAATCCAATTGAGAAACTGTGGGATGAAGTTAAAAGAGCCATCAGGCAGCTGGTTCCACAACCATCAAATCTCACAGAACTGGAGGGGATCAAAAATGGCGGCGGTATAGATGGACGTGTTCCGGGCCTTGTCCCGGAGCAGATAGGGTGAGCAGCTGAAACGAGTAACATCCAGCCCGAATTGGCAGAGGAGATTCAGTTGGGAGACAGTTTGCAGCCGGGAAAGGCAAAGGACTCCCAGAGAAAGGTAAAGTCAAGGCTCTGGGAAGGATAATTGGCCAGAATTCTGAGCCCTGAGGATCAGAGGGAATCCACACGGCACCGGCTTGGGCCGCATCCCTTGGGACGGGCGCAGTGGAAAGAAGGTACGCAGAACTGCTGGTTGGCAGGGGATTCTAGATCTGGGTCCACTATCAGGAAAGGCTGAGGAGTGCCAGCAGAAAAGCGTGCAGAGGC